GATTACAATTGTATAATTGGATGTCTTTTCATTATGTTCTTAAGGTCATACCATCGCCTGAGGAAACAATACAAAATATGGTAATATAAAGATATGTTAAAGTTGCGACCATAATCTGTTCAGATTAAATTGTATGACTGGATTTGCTTTCATTATGTTCTTAAGGGCATTAAGCACCATAAAGCTTCATAATCTTCTTAGTTCCATAGAGGGATGTAACCAGTAAATCAGGACTTCTACAACAGCTATTCTCTGTAAACGCAGGAGTTCTTAAAGGAGTGAGATTAATGAAGTTAACGCACATGAGACACGTTCAGTGAGGTAAAAACGTCAACAAAAGACATCCATGTTGGGGATGACAGAATCCTGACTCCACCACGTCACTGTGTGTGTCAGTGTTCTTAGTGTAGTCAGGCTTGCTTCAGCTCAATATCATTCCCTCTCCATATGTCATTCTGACGAATGTCGAATTTGAAAGTTTAAAAGATTTAAAACATTTGATTGGCACAGAATTATTTTTAAATAAGTTGGAGGAACTGATTACAACACAGCTTCTGGTTTGATTTAATTTTATATTTATCATAATTTGTTGCTCATTAGCAAATATAATGGACTCTGTACCTTAATAAATATTTTCTTTTTGTGATATATTTTTAAGCCTTGTTACGAAATGACTTTTTCAACAAAAAATCCTTTTTGCAAAGGTTATCTTGTAGCAGTCAAGTAACAAAATCTTTAATATGTTTGGGTTTAATGCAGCCAGGGAATCAAACCTTCACTCTCATAGCATGTGATTTATCCACTGGACCACCGACACAGTCCCTTAAAGCAGGTTGAGTTGCTGCGATGTATCAGTCAATGAGTCTTCACCATTAACCTACATCATGTATTCTAATTTAGATGTACTGGTATGTCTTGAGTCATTACACTACATTGCAAATGTAATTACTGATAACAGAATGTTTCTAATTTAATCTTAAGTGTAATCTATAAACTGAGGTTGGGTTGGAAACATGTCTCGTTAACATTCTGGCATAACTTCAGAAGAATGTTATTTTAATGTTTGTGTGGAATCGGGTCAGAAACTGTGTAGGTGTAGAAATATTTCTATGAAAGCATTGCCTCCTTTCATGCCATCAGTGGTTGCTATGAAACAACATGGTAAGATTCATCTGGACAGTCAGTTTATTCAGTTGCTTTCACCTAATTAGAGAAAAATGATGTTTTAATTTTGGGGGCATTTAGTAACATATGACATTAACACAGTTTTACAAATCCTGCCACAAGATGGACTTAGTGTAGTCACTGAAATTATTTTTTACATTTTTTTTAAACACAAGACAGGGAATCTGTTTACTGAAAGCATGAAGAAATGATTAAAACAATTCAGACTAACGTGTGGTAGACTTGATGAACAGTTTCAATTATGTCTGTCAATGTCTGTGTTGGTTGAAAGTCTGTATGGGTTGAATGTCTGTATGAGTTGAATGTGTCTGTGAATGTCTGTGTTGGTTGAAGGTTGAAGGTCTGTTGAGTTGAATGTCTGTGTTGGTTGAATGTCTGTGTGGGTTGAAGGTCTGTTTGAGTTGAATGTCTGTGTTGGTTGAATGTCTGTGTGGGTTGAATGTCTGTGTTGAGTTGAATGTCTGTGTCGGTTGAAGGTCTGTGGGTTAAAGATCTGTTTGAGTCTGTTGGTTGAAGGTCTGTATGGGTTAAAGGTCTGTGTTAGTTGAATGTCTGTGTCGGTTGAATGTCTGTATGGGTTGAATGTCTGTATGAGTTGAATGTCTGTGTGGGTTGAAGGTATGTTTGAGTTGAATGTCTGTATGGTTTCAATGTCTGTGTGGGTTGAATGTCTGTGTTAGTTGAATGGTTGTATGGGTCGGAGGTCTCTATGGATTGAATGTCAGTGTGGATTGAAGGTCTGCATGAGTTGAAGGTCTGTGTGGGTTGAATGTCTGTATGAGTTGAATGTCTGTGTGGGTTAAAGATCTGAAGGTCTGTATGGGTTTGAAGTCTGTGTTGAATGTCTGTGTGGGTTGAAGGTATGTTTGAGTTGAATGTCTGAGTTGAAGAATCTGTATGGGTCTGTGAGGGTCTCTGTGGATTAGAATTGAAAAGTGTGGATTGAAGGTGTGGGCATGAATGCCTGTTGAAGGTCTGTGAGGGTTGAATGTCTGTGTTAGTTGAATGGTTGTATGGGTCGAAGGTCTCTATGGATTGAATGTCAGTGTGGATTGAAGGTCTGCATGAGTTGAAGGTCTGTGAGGGTTGAATATCTGTATGAGTTGCATGTCTGTGTATGTTGAAGATCCATATGGGTCAGAGATCTATATGGGTCAGAGATCCATATGAGATGAAGGTCAGTATAGAGCAAAGATCTGTGCGAGTTGAAGGCTGATATAGAATCTCATTACACGGAGTATTTGTGCACGCTCAGATAAGAGCAGCACTGACCAAGGTCTGTCCCCAGAGCTAAGATCTGTAGCAGCACCTGAGGTGTCGCCAGAAATACAAACATGAAAAGTCAGCATGTCTCCTCAGGTTCTGTGGTCAAGATACCATTGAGAGATCAATAGTTCCTTTATGTCTTGGATTACAGCATAACAGGGAGATAATATATTTACACCATGGGTGAGTCCATATCAGATTTTTTCTGAATATAAAATAAAATAAAAATCATGATTTGAATCAGCTCATACAGACTTGAGCTATAACACATAAACATGTAAATTATAAAATTAACTTTATCATGACCCAAGGCTAAATGAGTCACAAAAGAAGATGAGCAGTGTATTGTATTAACACACTGACATTTAAAGTCAGTGTATCAGTAAAGTGGGGAATTATGGTAACAATAAGCAGTGGGTTTAATCCACTATCCCCAAAAATTGATGCTTATATCAATGTAGTGACTGATATGACTGATTAGTGTTTTCCTGATAAACATCAGATTATTTGACATTGAAGAAATGATAACAATATATGGATAAACAGCTTGTTTATTACAATGGCAACAACGTTTCGGTGAAGGTTCCAACATCATTATCAGGACAGTAGGGTAGCCCAGTGGTTAAAGCATTGGCTTGTCACACCAAAGACCTGGGTATGATTCCCCACATTGTTACAATGTGTGAAGCCCATTTCTGGTGTCCACCGTCGTGACATTGCTGGAGTATTGCTAAAAGCATCATAAAACTAAACTCACTCACCACTAATATTTTTACCAAGCATCGGATGAACCAACGAAACATCGCTCCCATTGTAATTAAGAAGCTGTTCACCCATTGTTATCCTTTGTCAGTGACCCAGCTTCTAAATGCCTCTCAAAGAAACATTTGACATGGTTATCTGGAACATGACTCCATCATTCACCGCTGATAACAGTTATAACTCTTGGATCATCTTGTGTAACTACACAACACTGAAAGAGGCAAACAGCATGGCAGGGATCTATGGCCCTGATAATGATACACTCCTCCTGGGATACAGAAAGAAGGGAGAACAGCATTACCTCACAGATGGTATGATGATTCCAATTTCCAATGTTAAGTAGAGGTGTTTTTAACTCAGTAGTACCGTAGTTTATTCACATCAGGTAATTACTAAATAATTTCCTGAATTTTGAGGTAATTATCATTACTTTGAAGTTTTCATTTACTACTCGTCACAAGGAGGGCTTCCTGTACACTGCCCAATGTCCCGGATGGATGGAAAACCAGTAAATCTAGTTTTGATCATAATAATAAGAAACTTCAATAAAGGATCTAGAGTACAATGGGGAGTTTGGTGTCAGTATATATAATAGTTTTACAATGAAATTATACATATCAAGGTTGGATACACCTTTTGAAGAGTGAATGAGTGAGTTTAGTTTTACCCCGCACTCAGCAATATTCCAGCTATATGGCAGCGGTCTGTAAATAATCGAGGCTGGACCAGACAATCCAGTGATCAACAGCATGAGCATCGATCTGCACAATTGGGAACCGATGACATGTGTAAACCAAGCCAACGAGTCTGACCACCCTATCCCGTTAGTCGCCTCTTACAACAAGCCCTTTTGAGGAGGGGGAGGGGAACAGGGTTTGCACAAATTGTATAATTGTCCTGGTACATGTATATAGAAATATATGCGATGAAGAAACCATCCTCAAGTTTGGGTCACAATTGTGGTAAAATAAGACCAGATAACCACTATTTTTTCATTTATTTATTATTTCTAATTATCTAAAGGGGTAAACTTGCATATATACATTAAACAACATGATATTCTGATTTATGTCATTTTGAGAGACATTATACTATACTTTCTATAACGAACTGGTCATAGTATCAAACATACACAAAACACTGGCACCAGTAAAGTACATTCTATCAGAGATTTTTATTACAGAAACAATGTTCTTAAATGGTCAAGTTTTTCAAAGAATCAGTATTTTTGCATTACATCAGTCCTGGTTAAAATTTTAAAATTTATTTGAAAACTGCTAATTTGGAGCATACATGTTTTATAACAATATCTTGTATAAAACAAGTACAACAGTATCCCATTCATGAGCTAAATCATCTAACATGTAATGCCAAATCCTAAGAAAATTTCACCAGGTACTGTATACACAGACTACAATATTTACAAAAATTCAAATTACTTTAAGCACTACCGGTAATTTAAATCTAAGAGTACAGAATTAAGGTATTGTGAGATTGATAGCTTGCATACATATAGGAAGTTTGAGCATTTCAGTGACTAAATCATCAAATTATGAAAAGGATTATGCAACAAAATATGTTTTCAAAAGGAAATTCAGAACAATATATGCCAATGAAATTAGTTGTCAGAGTTGCGAATCAAAGCAACGTATTGACAAAGATGACATATAATCAGTAAAAAGTATCAACCAATAAAATTGCTTGGTATTTCTGACTATCAGAAATAGATAAAATATTATTATTTAGTATAAAAGTAAAAAGGGTTATCTATTGACTATTTGTCTCACCTTTCTGACCCTCTTCATTTTGTGCTTCTCCTCGGATCCCATAGCCACAGACATTTCTCAGCCACACAAACAGGTGAATCTAAGACACAGCATATCAAAACACAATCTCCAGCTTCCTTCACCCAACTGCATCCATCCTAGCATCCCTCATTCCACAGTAATCAGAATACCACACAATAATCCACACACTTCATGCACTGATTCTTGGAGTTACCAAACTGTTGGCGTCAATGGTCAAACCATGCTGAAGCATCACAGCAGTATGAAAACTCCTGACAGTGTTAAAGAGTGATAAGGCACTGCATTCAGCGATATGCGAGACGGTCATAGCAAGTCAATACTCGTAGCACACGTCCTCTGTCCCTAGTAACGTGTTGTCGGCTGGACCTTCCTCTCATTATCCAAGGCACAAACCATTAGCTGTCCCTGGCTGCTTGACTAAACTCTCCGAAAGGATCAAGTATTAGTCAAGGCTTAGCATTAAGACGATACAACCATAACTCTCCTCTCAGTGAGGTAAACATCTCCCTGAACTCTCTCTCGCTTTGCTGGGATCGTTTTTTTACTACCTCTCTTAAAAACAATTTGCCTTTAATTTAGAACGGATCTTTAGAGTCTTCTCTTAAAAGTAATATGTCTTCACTCCCTGAATGACTGCCAGGGAAGCTGGATCTGGTTACCAAACTGAAAATACTTGCGTAGTAAGTTGTCAACGAGACAGTGATCCCATGATACTTTCTGCGGCAAGTCCAAGATTGTAAATAAGAGGTAACAAAGGAAAGGCTGGTTCTGTGGCAAGTCATCAGCTGGAGGTGATTTATTGTCGCTATCCTTCACTCTAACCAACAACCTAGGCAGGGATTGTAGATTCAATATGATTTATTTTGTAGACATAGAAAGAAATATCATGGAAAGTTCATGATTAACCACCTGGCATTACTATTCAAACACACTGTATTTAATCAGTATATTTGATTCATCTTTAAGATGAAATATATATTACTGAAGGGCACATCATAACTCTACACAGGTATTAATCAATGACCATTGGTCATTCTTTGGGGAGGGGAGGTCGGGGGTCTGAAATTTTGTATGGAGGCTAAAAATTTTCTCAGCAACAGAAAATAATACAGGATACTTTTTCTGAACATATCTATAGTCAAAATCTTTATAAAATATCTAGCATCAATGTAAAAACGTTTATCAAGCATTTTCTGGAACAATGTATATGTTTCAATAAAATCCCCGACCCCTTCACCAGAATGGTTTGTCCCAGTAAATCTGCACTGTTTCCCTAAGCTTTTAAGCTTATCAAACTTGACATGAGCAGCACAGTTGCATGTCCAAGGTAAATAGCTAGGACCACATTCCTATAGAGTACATTAACTATGGACGTTAGTTAAAAGATGAGACCTTTTCACTGAACTGGTTGATTGAAAGCATCCTTGTGTCCTAATTAGTTCAATTAGGCAGAAGTAGACAATTGTAAATGACCCTGTGAAATAAATGTCATTTTGACACAGTATATATGAACTTTAATGCAGCTAACTAGCGGCCTATCAGTGCAGCGATCAAATTAAATGCCCTCCAAGTCATCCCAATATCATTGACCTGTGGACCAAGATCAATAGTTCCACTTGATCATGTTCCAAGACTTCCATGTTCAGGCTCCTTAACTGATAGCCAGGCAATGTCATTAACATGGGCAGAGATTCATGACTTTTGTGAATTTTAGTGATCAAGATGAATACAGGTCCTCGGACTGACTTACAACTGACGGTCCTGTACACGACGAAAATGTTGATATTTTGTTGAAGGAGCTGAATATTGTTGAATGACTGACTGAGTTGGTTTTACGCCGCTTTTAGCAATATTCCAGCAACATCATGGCGGGGGACACCAGAAATGGGCTTCACACATTGTACCCATGTGGGGATTCGAACCCGGGTCTTCGGCGGGACGAGCCAATGCTTTAACCACTAGGCTACCCCGGGACCAGAATATTGTTGAAGGATTGATGCCTATAGCTATGATTACTAACATGATTCTCCTTGCGTATACTTATGATATGTGACCGCCTCCATGGTGTAGTGGTTAGAGCGTCCGCCCAGCGAGAGCGGAAGGTCGCGGGTTCAATCCCCGACTGTGTCATACCAAAAGACGTTAAAATATGGTACTTGTTATTCCCTGCCTGGCGCTCGGCATTAATGGGTACAACAAGGACTGGTCGGCTCGGAGTCAGTATAATGTGTCTGAGTGGGGTATTCATGCTTCACTGAGGCATGGTATCTCAGTGGGCTAGCACTATAAAACCAGCTTAAGTCTGGGCTAGTACAAGCAGCTGCACATACACATACACACGCATGTACGTCATCATATGAGCAAAATATTCTTAACCACGACGTTAAACCCAATTTCACCTCACCTCACTTATGATATGCAGGGATTGTTCTACCATGAACTCCCCATGGGCAGTTACAGTCAGGATAGATCCACAGTCCGCACTTGATTGCTACAGCCAGGAGGAAGGTAGCATCACCATGCACCCAAACGATAGATAATTTTCAATCCTAGTGTCTTTTTAATGAATTTTGATGTTCCCATGGTGATATTTGGTTCCATTGTGTCCACTGGTGGCCATATTGGCTGCCATATTGGATTTCGAATGAAATTTATAATCAGCATATCTTGTGATCTAGACATGGCATAAAAATATGCATGGACCTGTTCTTTCGACTTTAGTATTCTCAAAGCAATCACAGGCAAAATTTAACTATGAAATTCCAGGCTGGTTCATCAAGGGTGGAAACTGGACTTGTGTACACAGTTAGCTCCCTTGCTTTGGGAAGTGTCACATGTGGGTGAGTGAGTTTTATGCTGCTTTTAGCAATATTCCAGCAATATCACCAGAAATGGGCTTCACACATTGTGTCCATGCAGGGAATCAAACCCGGGCCTTCAGTGTGATGAGCGAATGCTTTAACCACTAGGCTACCCCACCGCCTCTGCCTTGAGAAGAGGTGCCTGGTAATATAAGCATATTGTGGTTGCTGTAATAACCTGGCACAATTTCCTGTTATGCATAAGCTGTGTCATCATACCCTGGGTAAGCTAATCATTACATGATAGTTTTCGGGTTCACAAGGCCGGTTGTGTAGATAAAACTTGAATATTGCTGACTGTGCATAAAGCAATCATTCACTCACTAACCCACAGCAGTTTAAACATAAGGAGAAATTGGGTTCAAAGTCACGTTCAAGGTTATATGTTGTTTTTTGGCTGTTTGTACTAGTGAGTGAGTGCACTGGGATTCACGCTGCTTTTAGCAATATTCCAGCAATATCACAGTGGGGACACCAGAAATGGGCTTCACACATTATGCCCATGCGGGGAATCAAACCCGGGTCTTCGGCGTGATGAGTGAAGCTTTAACCACTAGGCTCACCTAGTCTGGTCTAATGCAGATGTTATAGTTGTAAGATGCCATACAGCAGTTTAAGATATATGCCACACAGACAAATTATACTACCAGACAAGGTAACTATAAGCATCCATAACAAGCTAACATAGTGGAGTTATTTTCAACTACCAAAACATCCCGACGAAGTTCACTGTGACTTCCTCAACTCTGAAGCATGACTTCCTCAACTCTGAAGCATGACTTAAACATAATCAATAAATCCTAAAGTTATTAATTTGAAATAATCAGATGTTATTTTTTCTTAATTTATTTCAATTTTTTATTAATTTAAATTCATTTCAAGTACAACTCACTTTTAATTCAATATTCAACTTTGTGGAAATTATTATCTGTTTGCCAGTACACCTTTTTGAAAGGAAAATTGAAACAAATTCTTTTGGTTTAATCCTGTTTTCTCACCAATGGAGTATCAGGTCTTAATGATTAGGAGACATAAGATTAAAATAAACATTTTTGAAAATTATCAATGAATATTGAACTTTTTCAGACAGTGTCCTTTTTAGCAAGCTCTCCTAAAAGACACTATAATAAAAAACACAGAATGTGTCTTACCTCAAAACAAAAGAGAAAGGAAGAGAAAAGGAAAGAAAAAGACTATTGGATGATTCATTCGGATATAAGAACCTTCAGCACTGAATCTAGGTATCAATGGTTCCTGAACTACAACAGCAATCCCTATACACACCAACAAATCTAACTTCTCCGTAGAACTACCCGTAAATCTAATCAATGCTGACTTGTGGGAGGCCTTAGCAATCACACCAGACCTGATCTGAATTCCTCATCTTGTGACCGTGATAAATGGTCAGAGAGATAGCCCCACACTGACATCCACTTGTGCATTTAAACAAGCCATTACTTCCTCCAGTGTTGCTGTCACCAGCTGATTGAAGGCGAGGGGTCGTTTGTCACGGTCTTACATTTGTATGGTGCTGTTAATGTGTGACTTGGTGTCATTATCATGACTTATGGTCTGGACTTGTTGATTGCAGAATGGGTATTCTTCGGTGAGAATGGATTCTTCACTGTGTATCTGTATCATTAATGAGATATGGTTGTGTTATTATATTCTGTGATGAGATGTCGTTAGAGCAGACAAAATGTTGTTGGTTTCGTTAGATCAATGTAGGTTTTAGTCATTATGCTAACAAACATGCTTGAGACCAAGCATAAAGAAGTGATCATTTACAAGATGACTTCATGTCAATTTCCTGAAAGAAATCATTGCAATAAATCAATAACTTGACATGTTCAAAATATATGTTCAAGATATTTTCAAACATAGTGAGGACAAGGCAAGTGTAGTGAATTGAAAACTAGTTTGATGATGACAGTCTTGTGTTTCTTGAGGTCATCTTGATAGTCTTGTGTTTCTTGGGATCACCTTGACAGTCTTGTGCTTCTTGAGGTCATCTTGATAGTCTTGTGTTTCTTGAAGTCACCTTGATAGTCTTGTGTTTCTTGAAGTCACCTTGACAGTCTTGTGTTTCTTGAGGTCATCTTGATAGTCTTGTGTTTCTTGGGATCACCTTGACAGTCTTGTGTTTCTTGAGGTCATCTTGATAGTCTTGTGTTTCTTGAAGTCACCTTGACAGTCTTGTGTTTCTTGAGGTCAACTGGACAGTCTTGTGTTTCTTGAGGTCATCTTGATAGTCTTGTGTTTCTTGAGGTCATCTTGACAGTCTTGTGTTTCTTGAGGTCACCTTGACAGTCTTGTGTTTCTTGAGGTCATCTTGACAGTCTTGTGTTTCTTGGGATCACCTTGACAATCTTGTGTTTCTTGAGGTCATCTTGATAGTCTTGTGTTTCTTGAGGTCATCTTGATAGTCTTGTGTTTCTTGAAGTCACCTTGACAGTCTTGTGTTTCTTGAGGTCATCTTGATAGTCTTGTGTTTCTTGAAGTCACCTTGACAGTCTTGTGTTTCTTGAGGTCATCTTGATAGTCTTGTGTTTCTTGAGGTCACCTTGACAGTCTTGTGTTTCTTGAGGTCATCTCGATAGTCTTGTGTTTCTTGAAGTCAC